ATTCAGGCTTCTGGACTGTAGAGATTTTTGCACACACACACACACAAAACCATTTTAAGCTTTTACAGTCTTCAATTACAAAGGTTGTAGAAATCACTTGGCAACCAATTTTAAACCACCACAATTTAGAGTTTTCATCCCACATCATACCAAGTATATTATAATGTACTCATATCCTACAGTTAATATGATATTATATTTAAAGGATTTTTACAATTTAGGTTTTAAAATTGTCTTTACATAATTTATTTAATTTATAATCAGGCATGACATCTCAGCAATCATGCTGCATACTTGAGAACTCTAGCAAAATGAGTTTTTCTTTTCTTGTTTTAGAGATAATAATTTTTTATTTCATATCTCAGACAATTCCATAAGCCCTTGAGAAACTGTACTTGGTATGAGACATGAGACCCTCAATAAACAATTCGCAACTTTGGCTGAGAGTATGAATTCATATGTTTATCTAACTAACTGTTGACAAGTATTCTTCTTTCCAATCTAAGCTACTAAAAAGGGATGAAGAGAAAAACCTCAATTTATCTGTCCAACCCCCTTTGTATTTAGAAGTCTGCTAGACTCTGGCATTGTCAAACAATCAATCTCTCCACTCCCACATCCTATGGGTCAAAGGTGCTCTCTTTCCAAACTGGCTACCGCCTGACATCCAGAAATCTTGTGGCCAATTTCTATCAGGCTTTGGAGTTTCAATGAGTCCAGTTTGGCTCTTATGGAGTTAGAGTGGACATCAACAAGGATCTGGAGTTCAGAACACTGTCACTACTCAGATGGAAGTGTCTAGTTAAGCTGACAGGACTCCTGGCTGACATTACTAGCCTTTTCTGCTATTTCACTAACTTTCTTAGAGAGCAGGTATTTTGATAACTGCCTTCCAGGGTAGGACAAACTGATTTCCTCCACTAGTAATCATGACTTTTATAGTATGAATGCCTGGATGGGTATCAGTTTCAATAGGAAATACTATTCTTCTCCATCTATTTACTCATCTTCCTAACACAATAACAGCTAATAAGACGTCTGGCCCTTTAAGAGATGGAATTTTTAACAAAAAGCTACTTTGTGCTAGATACTATGTGAGGGACTTCATATACATTCTAGTCTAATTATCATAATACTATTATGGCAAGTAGATACTTTCATTGTCCTGTTTTAAAAAGAAACAAAGTTATCAGTTTGCAAGCAGCTAAAATCCAACCCTTGGTTAGGAATGTAAACCCTCAGACATCAAAACCTGTCTGGGTCCCACTACCTCATCCTCTGCCTCTGTTTACAAAGCACTTTCTCTTCTTTTTCCTTTTTATTACATTTATTGGGGTGACACTGGTTAACTGAATCATATAAGTTTCAGGTGCACAATTCTACAACACATCATCTGTACACTGTATTGTGTGTTCACCACCCCAAGTCAAGTCTCCATCCATGACCATTTATCCCCGTATACCCTCCTCCACCTCTCCCTTCTCTCCTCCCCACAGAAGTACCACACTGTTAACTGTGTCCATGAATTTTTCTCATTTTTTTTTTTTGCTCAATCCCTCCACCCCTGCCAATTCACATGCATTCTCTCTTATTACAACAAAGTCAATCCCATCATTTTAAAGGGGCTAAGAGTAGTAATGAAGGTTGTCATTTTTAATTAACCTTTTAAGATATTCTGTCATAAAAGATACTGCAAAGACTCCACAGAACTTTCCATTAAAAATCTTTAGGCTGATAAAATACATTCTACAGGGATTTCCTTCCTAAGCGTTGTTTAGTCAGATACAGAGGAAATTCAAATAGAGTCTGAGCTAAAGAAAAATGTTTTGCTCTTCAGCAAGTTAAGGTGTTATAATAACTTCATGAACTGTTCCAAAGATAGCACTGTCATACCATAGATGCTACATAGAAACAAAGAAACAGACTTGATAAAGTCTATTTTAAAGTTATTATTAGTGGGTGAAAACAATATGTGCTATTCTGGAAGGCAACTATCAGGAAGCATGCGCCCTCCAAAATGTGGTGAAATAGCAGAAAAGTCCAGTTTTGTCATCCAGGAGGGCCATCAGCTTGACTGTTATTACTTATTTTCAATTGCATTATTTTAGTATATTTATTATTGTACATAATGTTAAATTTTAAAATATCTTACAAATATGCTTAAAATGGTTAGATAATAATGAAAAACAATCAGGCTAGCCTCAGCCATATCTGACACACTGAATGGTAAAAGACAAAGAAGCAATGTTTAGTAAATTTTATGGAAAAATGTGATTTCAAATTTTAAAGCCAACTATGTGTTGAACTATGGGAAAAAGCATCAGAAAGATGTTTGCAGGTATTCAAGAGCAGACAACATAAAGTATTTCATGCAATTTATGCAGAAAATATTTTTCCAACTTATTGAAAATTAAATAAAAAATAAAAGTTCAGCCCTGGCTGGTTTTTCTCAGTGGTTAGAGCATCAGCCCTTGGACCAAAAAGTCACGGGTTCGATTGCAGTCAAGGGCTCGTACCTTGGTTGCAGTTCATCCCTGGTGCTGGTCAGGGTCATGCGGGAGGCAACCAGTTGATGTGGCTCTCTCACATCAATGTTTCTCTCTCTCTCTCTCTCTCTCTCCCTCTCTTCCATTTATCTGAAGATAAATGAGAAAATATCCTCAGGTGGGGACAAAAAAAAATTTCAAAAATGAGGAGAACATGGAATACAGCATTCAAAATTGAACATTAAAGCCAGTTAATATAGAAATGTATAAATAATTCTATATAATAGAGTTATAAATTGGAACTTAAAAATACACCGTAACTCTTCAAATATAATATATTTAAAGTAAAAGTATATTATAACAATAATCCATCACTGAAAATGCTTTTAACAATGACCAAGAGGTAAACAAGGTAGGGAAAGTGAAGCATGTTAAAAATCTTGTCTCAAAGACAGAAGAGGAAAAGACAAAAGAGTTCAGTTCACAATAACTGATAAATAGAAATTGGTTAGACTGACTTTGAAATTATTAAAATTAACTACTAGAAAGACTGCAACTAAAAATAATTTGCAACTTTATTTTTATACAGACAGTATCAAAGCAAAACATAAATAAGAAAAATATATTTTATAATGAAGTGTACATTTGTAACATTATTATGAATGTCATGAACGTTTTAGTAGAAATTCTGACTTAGAGCCCTGTATGTGTATGGATAGGGTATTTAAACTGCCCACTTTAAGGTATTAGAAAGAGAAGTCAATATCAGTGTTTAGAACCTCCATGTGCTAGAATTGAGAAGGACATGGCTTGACTTCTAACTCCCTCTTCCAGCAACCCCCCTTTCATTATATCAAACACTAGCCCGAAAGAATGTCAACTCTCAATCCCCTAAATAAGCAATACTTAAGTAACTTAAATGTATCCCAATTTATCCTTCATGGTGCTTGTATGTGGGTATGTGTATGCATTTGTGTATGTGTGTGCATGTGTGTATATGTGTCTGTGTTAGAGAGAATGGGTAGGTAAAGAAGCTTCAGTAGTTCTTCAATAAAATCCCTAATATCATACCCACTTTCCACTTCTGCCCCCTCTCTGTTGATGCCAAGTCCAGGGCTTGTCTGCCAATTCTCTGAATCACCTTATAGCATGTTATCATCTATGCTTATTTTGCCTTTTGACTTACTCACATCTACTTTCTGAATCATATATATTCCTAGATATATATCCATCCATCCTTCCTCCCCATCTCCCTTGTTTCTACCTCTCTATGTATTTCCATTTATCTATCTAGTCTACTTAAATAGAAAGATATTAGAGATTACAGATTAAGCTCTCCAATTGTTAAATTTCCCCCTGGGTATAGGGATTTTTAACTTGTTGTTTTATTTTTCTTCTCTTAAATTGAATGTGCATACAGTCAATTAAATATTGAAATCATTATTATTAAAACATGAAATCCTCTACATACCCTCTCAGCTTGCAATTTTACTTAGTGGTTTATCCTGAAGATTAGTAAAATAACTGCTAAAGCCTGTGTGTATAAGCATATTTGTGGCAATTATTTTTTATGGTACAAAAAAAATAGAAAAAAAAAAACTAAAAAGTCATCAACAATGATTGATTAAAACATGATACAGCCAATGAAGAAAATATTATGCAGTTATTGAAAATTATATATTAGCATCAACATGTGGAAAGGCCTATTATAATATACAGTGTTTTTCAGTGTTTGGGGATATATGCTTAGAAACATTTGAAATGATAAATACCAAAACTTAGCAGAGGTACCATCTGGGTGATATTTTGGTTTTCTTCCTTATTTTTCTCTATTTTCTCTTCTTTTCTTAAAATAAGCATGAGGGACCTGGAGATTATTATGCTAAGCAAAATAAGCCAGTCAGAAAAAGGCAAGCATCACATGATCTCACTTGTATGTGGAACCCAATGAACAAAATACACAGAGAACAAAATAGATCCAGAGACCTGGAAACAGGGAACAGACTGACAAACCTCAGAGGAAAGCGGGCAGGGAGGTGGGAAGAGATAAACCAAAGAACTTATATGCATATATGCACAACCAATGGACACAGACAATAGGGTGGTGAAGACCTGGGGCACAGTAGGAACCCTGTGTAGGGGGTCAATGGGGGGAAAATGGGGAGACATCTGTAATACTTTAGCAATAAAGATAAATTAAAAACAGAAAAATAAGCATGTGTTATTCATGTACCCAGAGAATAAACCTATTTGTAGTTTAAAGGGGGTGGAATAGAGAGAACTGAATGAAATTATGATATTTATAGCAGTAACCAATACGATTTTGAAAGATGCTGGCATCTTAGTATTATATTCACAACATACCTTATATATTTGATGTTTTTAAAACTCCTTTTATAAGAACCACCCTTCCTATTATTTTCTTCTTTTATATAGCTACAAAAATTCAAGTTTTATTATTTTTTCAATTATGAGTTTTAAAGTTTAAATGCTATTATTACTATTTTGGTTCACAAAAATGTGGAACACTTCATTTATTTGCGTGCAATCCTTGCACAGAGGTCATGCTAATCTTCTCTGCATCATTCCAATTTTAGTACATGCACTGCTGAAGCGAGCACCCCTACTATTTTTCTTACCATTGTTTTCCCATTAGCAGTAGAGATATCACTAAATATATTCCACCATATTTGGTGGTGATTTAAAAAAGAAAAAACTGAAACACCTGAATTTTTGTTATATTGTTCAAATGTTTTGTTATATATATATCGAATGTTTTATAAAATAATAGCATTTTGTCTAGAGACTATAGCTTACAAAAAAAAACAAGCAAACTGGAGTGATCTATAACAATCATACTCAGTTAAATTTTTACTATTTATATAATATCAGCCTTCAAACTGCTAATTCAGGCACATTCTGTGAATATTTTTCTCTGGACCTTATTACCAGATGTTTGGTTCTATTTCTATTTTTGTATCACTCTGCTCCATATTTTCCTCAATGACAAGAGCAATATCACAGGTGTTAATGAGCCTTTCACCAATAATCTGAATTTCTCTTATATTCCATACCATCTTTCTTTGAATGATGCTATACATGTATTTTTATCTTCTTGTTTATGTTATCTTTGCTGAAACACCAAAGAACATCTAAAAAATCCTAAAATTCCATAGAACAGTTTGAAAATGAATAGTTTAAAGGCCTTCAGATATAGTTCACAATTTCCTCATTTCTGTAATAAATTCTGTTCAGAGGTTAGATCTTGCTGTATGTGTTCAGGAGGATATTGTCTTTTATTCATTTTGGAGGTGTCTTTTCCATAAATCCCACCTATTTTAGTTTCCCTTTCATTTAGACTTTACCATCTGGATGATTTGTGGCTTTTCTTTAACCATATAATCTTTCCACTTGGGTGCTAGTCAAATTTCTATCTTATATATATAGCTGGAATGACAAGTTGGAAATGTCCATAGTCCTTCACCTTGCAGTCTTCTTCCAGTGATTCTGTGCTTACTGAAACAAAATCTCTATTTGCCCCATTGTCCTCACTACCTTTTACTTTTAAATAAAAGGGATGTATAATAATAATAAAGTAACACTATCAATAAATTATCATTGTTAACACAACTGTCACCTTCCTGGCCTGCATCTTGTCTAACTTTCCAGCATCATCTTCTACCACCACTTCCCCTCAAATGCCCCATAGCTCAAATAGCTTGAATTACATGTCCTTCTTTGAATATCCTATTCCCTGATAGATCGGCTTAGGGAAAACTGCTTTCTTGTTTACCACTATAACCCTAGCACTCCTGGTATATAGTAGTAGCTCCATAAATATTTGTTAAAGAAATAAATGAGTCCAGTGGTATGGCTCAGTGTTGAACATCAACCCATGTACCAAGAGGGCACTGGTTTTATTCCTGGTTAGGGCATATGCCCAGGATGTGGGCCCGATCCCCAGTGGGGGGCATGCAGGAGGCAGACAATCGATATTCTCTCTCATCGAGGTTTCTATCTTTCTCTCTCTCTCTACCTCTCTCACTAAAATCAATAAAGAGAAAAAAGATGGCAGCTGGCAGAACCTGAGGGAGGGTGAGTGTGTGATAGAGTGAGCGAGTATGTGAGGAAGTGTGAGTGGACATGAAGGTGGATGACCAAATCCCAGCAATGCAGACCCATGGAGCAGAAGGTTCCTGTGCTGTCAATGGGAGCAGCCAGCTACCAAGGTAAGCGGCCCTTCAATGTGCGTCTCCCTGCTCCACAGGGAGGTCCCACCATTTTGGAAGATCCCAGGTCTTCCCTGGGAGGAGGCAGTGGGAGCGGCTAGGGCCCAGCAACCTGAGCCCACCAGCGCACCTGGCACCATAGGACCAGTGGATACTCTGTGTCAACACAGACCAATGCACAGTAGTGAAGCTCCCAAGGTGCAGGTTGCAGAAGCCATGGACAGCTGGGAGCCCAGCACCATCCCCCATAGTAGCAGCCCGTTCAGGTTCGAGATATACTCCCAGCAACAGAGGCTGGGGAGCAGACATCCATCTGCAGGCAACAGAAGCACAGACCAGAAGCTGAGACCCATCTCCAAAAACTACAGCAAAAGCTGAGCAGGAGTTGAGCTCCACAGGGCAGCAGCACTCCCCAGCTGCCAGTGGAGGGACCTGGGGCTCCATAGAGGCAGGTGCACTCCAGTAGCTTACAGGAGCATTGGGAAGCCAGAGCCACAGAGAGACTGGTGCAATCAAACTGCCTTCCCACGGGAAATGCAGGGTAAGGGGGCACCAGAGAGGCCTGTGCTACCCAGCAGGGACTGCAATCCAGTTACACACAGGACCTGCGGGGTGCTGAAGCCCCAGAGAAGCCTGGGCGAACCAGCAGCCCATAATATAGGCATAGAGCCGGGTCCCAAAAGGGACTGTGTGATCCAGATACCTGCAGGACCTGCAGGGTGAGGGGACAAAAGGAAGGCCTGTGCGACCCAGCTGTGCACAAGATAGGCTTAGAAGAGGTGAAAAGAGAGGCAGAGTGAATAGAAGCTCACAGACGATCTCCCAGGACCAAACAGGAATTACAACTAAAATAAAGAAAAATCCTGGGAAAAAGCAACAGAAAAGCAGCAGGACAGGACCATATAACCAGGAACACTGGTAGGATCTGCGGAAGCACGAGAGGGTGGCGGGCTGGTAGCCCAAGGACAGCAGCAGTCTTAGCTGTGAGCAGTGCCCATGGGGAATAAAGAACAAGAATGCTCAAGAGGGCAAAGAAGAGGGACACAGCACTAAAATAGCCACAGCCACTCACCTGGGGGGTACTGCAGAATGAGGGCAGACTGGGCTGGAAGTCTGTGGGGACACCGGGATTTGGCGGGCACTCAGAGTTTTTGCTGACTTGCAGCCACAAAGGACAGTGGCCAGTGTGCCCCTTCCCACAGCTATGGGGAAAAGCAATAGACCCCCCACCTTGGAGATTCAGCCTTTCCCAGATGAGGCAAAGAAATACAAATTGAGGCTCATTAACAACCAGCATCTATCCCACCCTCTGGAAATCCTCTTATGCAGAACACCAGGGCTACATTCTAAGGCACTGAGTAACTGAGACTACTAGCCACCAGGAAAAAGCTAGAGGATAACTGAACCTTTCCTGGGCTTGCAAATCGACCCAGGAAAGTAAGACTTGACAGTGGTGTTTAACATGGGCCCACCCAGGCTCATCCAAACTCAGTAGAAGGAGCCACAAACAGCAGAACACCAACACCCACAGAAAAAAATGGCAGCCTCCAATACCCACTGAGATAGCCAAAATGGTGAAACAAAGAAACAAATCCCAAATGAAAGAACAAGAGAAATCTGTCAAAGATGAGATCAATAAAACACAGTTAAGCACATTATCAGAGGTAGAGTTCAGAGCCATGATCTTGAGGAAGCTCAACAGCATGAGTAAGGACATCAGCACCATGAGTAAAGATACAGAAACATTTAAAAGAAACCAAGTTTGACATAGCAGACATAAATAACACATTAGAAGGACTAACCAGCAGAGTAGAGAAAACTGAGGACCGGATCAGTGAATTAGAATACAGGGTACACAAAACAAACCAATCAGAAAACCAAAAGGAAAAAACAATAAAAAAAACAAACAAACAGGAAGACAGCTTAAGAGAACTGTGGGACAACTGAAAACGTAATAACATTCACATCATAGGAGTCCCCGAAGAGGAAACAATAGGGCAAGGGTTAGAGAATCTATTTGAAGAAATAGTGACTGAAAACTTTCCTCACTTCGTGAAGGAAGAAGGCATTCAAGTTCAAGACGCACAGAGTTCCCAAGTGAGAAGAACCCAAACAGGCCCACACCAAGACGCATAGTAATTAAAATGACAAAAATTAAAGACAAAGAGAGAATCCTAAAGGCAGCAAGAGATAGGCAAGCAGGTTACCTACAAAGGAAACCCCATAAGGCTCTCAGCTGACTTCTCAACAGAAACACTACAGGCCAGAAGGGAGTGGCATGAAGTAATCAAGGTCATGAAAAACAAGGATCTGAATCTAAGACTACTTTATCCAGCAAGGCTATCATTCAAAATAGAAGGTCAAATAAAGAGCTCTCTAACAGCAAACCAGCACTGCAAGATATGCTAAAAGGACTGCTGTAATTAGTAGAAGAAATAGGAAGAAAAATAGAACCATGCTAAACAAAAATGGCAATAAATAAGTACATATCACTTATTATCTTAAATGTGAATGGTCCGAATGCTTCGATAAAAAGACACAGAGTAGCTGGCTGGATAAGAAAGCATGAATCACATATATGTTGTTTACAAGACACAGCTCACAACAAAAGACTCACATAGGTTGAAAGTGAAGAGATGGAAAAAAATCTTTCAAGCAAACGGAAAGGAAAAGAAGCTGGGGTAGCAATACTCATATCTGATAAAGTACATTTCAAAATGAAGACCATAACTAGAGACAAAGAAGGCCAGTACAAAATATTGAAAGGATCCATCCAACAGGAAGATATAAACTTGGTAAACATATATGCACCCAATATAGGAACACAAACATATATTAAAAATCTTTTGGAGGACTTCAAAGGAGAAATCAACAGCAATACAATCATAGCAGGGAACTTTAACACCCTGCTGACATCACTGGATAGATCTTCTAGACAAAAAATTAACAAGGAAACACAGACTCTAAATGAAGCGCTAGATCAAATGGATTCAATAGATATCTACAGAGAATTACACTACAACTCCGTAGAATTCACATTCTTCTCAAGTGCACATGGGACATTCACAAACATACACCCCATGTTAGTGCACAAACTAAGTCTCTACAAGTTCACAAACACTGAAATCATATCAAGCATCTTCTCAGATTACAATAGCATGCAACTACAAATCACTTGCAACAAGAACATGCAAAGACAGTTAATAACATGAAGGCTAAATAGCATGTTATTGAACAAATAATGGGTTACCATGGAGATCAAGGAAGAAACAAAAAACTTCCTGGAAACGAATGAAAATGAACACACAACAAAACAAAATCTATGAGATGCAGTGAAAGCAGTTCTGAGAGGGAAGTTCATAGCACTACAGGACTACCTCAAGAAACAAGAA